GTAAATCTAAGAATTTATAAGTAACTTTCACTAGGTATTGATCACTCAACTTTTCACTTCCTTAGCTAGTACACAGAGTGATTTAACTGGCTCACTAGTTAAATCAACTAGGTAATTCTCTCAGTGCAAACGTAACGTTTGCAAATTTAACTGTTGCCTTTGAAAACGTAACGTTGCAAAGAAATGTAATAGTAACAGCACAATTTGGAAAATGTAAGTAATTTTGAATTTATTAATATTCACTCATTAATTTTTATATATTTTTTGCCATATAGAACTTTGATGGACAAGTATATTGTGTTGCCTTGTGGTCATGCAGTGCAATTTAAGAATGTATGTAGTGTTTAGCATCGTTATATAGTGAATTGGTCTCTTGTCTCTTTTCGAAAAATCAAAATGATATTCACTTAGCTGGCATTGACAATATTATGACCACATGAAGACGGAAATAATATAACTGATTTATACAGGAATATATGTATTTTTAGTTATATTAAAACTAATTCGTGGATTATTTATTTGTATCCATTTATGATTTAACTTTCGTCTACACATAGAATTGTTGCACAATGTAAAATTTGCATTGCATTTAGAAAAAATGTGATATTTAATTTTGATTCTCCATAATTCTCTAACTTTTTCGGCAATCTCTTTCCATGTTTTACAGTCTGTCTTTAAATATGAATCCACATTATAATAATGAGTATCATAAAAATACAGATGAGGTTTTTCTATTACATCATAATCCAATTACCGTGGCAAACACCTACGTTTTTCTTTTGATATTTTATGGAGTTATTTAGACACAAATTCACAATAACTACTCGGTCGAAAAACAATCTAGAAATAGTCATACTTGAATTGAAATGCACATTTTTAACAAACTAACATATAATTTCATTATCCAGATGTTTCTTTGTAACAGCAATTTAGAATAAATGGCACCACTATCAATCATATGTCTTTTATTTTACAGCATGCGTGGCTAAAATGTAAAAACGAATTTCCTAAAATGAAGATTTTTTAAAGTAAGTTTGCTAGTTTATTCATTATCTTTCCAGTACACGTCACTTAAATCCAAACGACCTTAATTTACAAACAGGATGGCCTATAATTATATAAACATTTGCTGAATACATGCCCTAAAAACAAAGGATTAGAACTTAGCTCAGTGAATTCAACAAGAATTTTACATTATAGCAATATAAGGTGTAACAAATAATACTGGGGAGAAATGATATACAATATATTCAGCTGCGGTATATCTAATCTTTACATGGGATTTTATCTGTACATTGGATTCTGATTCCACACACTAATGCTCCGAAGTTGAAAAGATTGTCATTAACTATCTACCCCGGTATATGTAGCATTTGAAAAAGGTCTTCTGACAATCTGCTGAACTTCCGATAGCCACTGATAATGCTTCTTTATCCGTCAACCCGTTTATATATTTTACGAAGCAAAATTTATTTAAAAACTTCTTCATGAGAAGAATATTTATTTTAAAGCCTAAAAACTACATTTAAACGACATTTTATCAACTAATATGTTCAAAAGTTTTTACTTTCCTTCACATGTCAACTTGATAAATTCCACTGAACTCAAAATAAAAGGCACTACAGCATGGCGTGTAAAATGTTGCTTTATTCGATTTTCTTGTTACGTATATTCAATATTTTGTGATGCATATTTAAATCTTATATTTCATTTCATTTTCAAGATCTTGTGATGTATAGTCAGGATACTGGTATTGTGATGTATACTATCAATATCTTGTGATGTATATTCAAAATCTTGTGATGCTATGTTTGCTACAAAAATAAGGTGGAAAAAGCCTTGAAAAGTTGAAGCTATACCACATTTAATCATTTATCGTAAACTTTAGCTTTATTTTGTCACCAACGTCTTCCTCTAGTCAAACATCCAGCTATGAGGCAGATGTGTCAGACTATTTTGGTGTCTTTATTTAAACAATAAAATACTTTCATTGTTAAAATGTCAACTGATGTTGCAATTATTACATTAAAAACCTGAGCGGAGTAAGAATAACGTGTAAGTTTTCAATTTTCGCAAATAATTGAACATACAATGGCATGCCGTGGTTTAGATTCTTGGGAATTACAATTTAAGAATAAGATTTTTTTTTCAAAAAGCAATCAATTAATTTTCTTTTTAAATAAGCAAGAATAACAAAAATACAAATCAAACGACTGTTTTAGTTTATACTTTATAGATAATAATTTCTGGGATCATATTAAGCCTTTAAGACTTTATTCTGAATAACAGTTCAATATTATAAATTAAGGAAGTAAAATAAATAAATTTGTTATTCAAATATTGAAAATAATTAATGGCCCACCTTCTTACACTCAATTCACTTAATGACTTCAGTCATTTATGCAGAATTCGATAAACGTTATATTAAACATACAAAAAGACAAAAATGATCAATAGAACTGATTTAGGCAATAAATTTGAAGATTAAGCGATGTCATTGATACATGTATTTAATGAGTCACATTCTGAATTTTTTTTTCGGATATTTTCGTCGTTAAGTAAAGAATAAGCAATTTCTATTTACATATTGTTGAAAAAAAAGATTCATTTTATAAAAATCCCCCTTTTCCCCCAATAAAAATAAGATTTGAACTCTGAGTGAAAAATGAGACTGATTTGAACCAGAAATTCAATGAATTACAATAATAATTTATAGCTTTTCATTTTTAATTATAATCATTTTATTTTCAGAATATAGATAATTAGAAAAACAGGTCAAACATTACTTTAATTCAAAGTTAACTTTTTTAAATATAGTTTTAACATCAGTTAGATTTATTTTCTACTAATTGAAGTTTATTATACAAGTACACGTTTTCATGTTCGGTATGTTTTATGAGATATTAGTCATAGCTGTTTTTAAAATGGACTTAATGATGATAGTTTTTAGATTTATATTGAGATTAAAGTGACATTGATGATGTATTGGCTTTCAACATTTGATATATATGTCTAATTATTTACACATGTTACTTGTTCGATGTCATATTAATATCTTTTCCAAAGTATCTGATATTCTTTTAATGTGGAATAACTTTTATTAAAACATGGTCCCCAGAGTAGAGGCGTGGTCAGCCACCACTAGATGGGTTTAAGTTATGCTAGAAAAAATTACAAATAGGATAAAATACATTAAAATATCGTCAGCAAGGTCACAGATACTCATATTGATAAACAGGTTTCGTATAGTTTCAATTTGCCCATGCCCTGGGTCTCTTGGTATTGTGGGTTTCCTTATAATGGGTTCCAAAGTATATATATGAAGAAGTTCTGTATTCAAAATCTTTATGAATAAAATATCGCGATTGTCTTTGTACATTGTAGATCATCAAATTATATCGCAGAAGTAAAATTAATACAGCAAGAATATTGTTGTATTTAAAAGCATATTTAATCAGAAGAGTGTTAATGAAATAAAAGTTTAACATCTCATTATCACCAAAATACAATGAACTACGTCACAAAACTTTTAACTCTGAAATCTTTTAGGCGTGAGGCTTTCCTTTTTCAAATTATATAATTTCGTTGTTGAAACTCATAAACTGTAAAATCACATATTCTTGGGGTCAAAATTTCGAGATTTTGGGGAAAATATTTGTTTGGATTTTATTTCGTGGTTGGAAAATGTTTAATAGTAATGCATACGAAATTTTACATTTTGTTGTGGTCATAAATGCATGGCTTTCCTTTTACCTCGAAAACAACGAAAATCACACCCACGAAAATAAGTGATTTCACAGTATGCTTTTGAGAAAAAATGCAGTTTCTGTTTCTACATTAAAAAAAGTCTAGAACAAGGCATATATTTCAATCTATCTACCTTTTAACTTAACTTATCAAACTTTTTTAACAAGAAAAATTAGAGGGTAAAATACTAATAGGAAACAACCCTTTGCTAACCCTTAGAATGGAGAGTCCTAAATGATTCCTATATGAGCAATGAATAAAAGAAGCATCTTTTATAGCTGATATAACAGATTAGAGCTTTTACGCACCAAAACTACACACAAATGTTGTATTTGACCACAAACATTTTTCCAGGCATTGAAAGATGTATAATTATTTTGCAATTGAGGAGAATTTTCATGTTTGTTTTCTCTTTTGCCATTGTTAATCTTTAATACCACTATAAAAAGGGCTATAAACATCAATTAAGACAGTTTATTTGGTAGTTTATCACAGAGAGAGTGACATAATATGTAAAATTAATGACTTTAACACCACCTGATAAATGACATTGTCAATGTGTATGAATCTTCCCATAATTATTTAATTAATTTTTTACTAAAGTCGTCACGGTCACGCACTAAAAGTCAATTTACTGGTATGCTTAATTCCAACATGCTTGTTGAAAATTAAAGTGACAACAATTGTCTCTAAGTGAAACAGAGCATGGCAGCTGCGCAGGACAGGACAGATAAAATAAAAGATTTCGAAATAGTTCTTTAGCAAATATGGTTTTTGTTAGAGAGTATAGTTTACGGAAAATGTAAATATGTTAGGAGATAGTGTGTTGATTTCAAATGTGAAATAGAAAACAATGAAAATTGCCTATACCAACTTAAGAAAAATGTTTGCCTGGCCTCCCCCGATTGTTTGATAATATTGGGTTGGTGGGTAGGTAAGAAATTTTTTCTCAAAAAATTTCAATTTCAATGTTAATTTTTTTTAAATTAAACTTTCCAGAGTGCTTATGAAAAATAATTACTTGAGGTTTTAAAAAAGTTTTGAGTCAGGCCATTTTTAGCAAGTCAGTCGGGATAGGACAACCAAACGTTTTTTAAAGATGGTCCTATCTTGAAAAATATTTATTTTTCCGGTGGTCTTCGTGTTATCATATTTCGGAAGTGTAAATATCTCCGTCTTTGACTGATTTAAGAGTTTCCGCTGCTTGTTATGAAGTTGTCAGGTACGTTCACTTGTCCTTGACTGATGTCATATGGGAATTATATTTAAGTTAAAGAAGTTTCCGTCAAACGACAGCTTATATTGGATGCTCTTAGGTAAGCCAATTTTAAAATAATCCAAAATATTCTGTCTACTTTGTAATGAGGGAATTAAAATGTAAATTTATATTAATAAACTATTGCAACAGTGCACTTTATGCAATAAAGCAATAAAATTTTCTTCGAAATTGCTAATTTCATAAAAAATGATATATATATATATAATGTTCAGAAAATGATTCTTTTTGTAGATTTATATCGAAACACCAACGACAATGCAGAAAATCTTCGATACATTATTGCTGTACTTTTTGACCATCTTTGGATATTTTGGAGAAGTGACACTATATAGTGTATTCCATGACAAATCCAAACCTATGGACTCTACTGGTATGTATGATTTTATGTACAGAAACAGTTATTCAGTAGTTATAATTTAATGCTAAAATATTTATAATTGATACGGATTTTAAATGTGCCGCATTTTGTGAAAAAGGTTGCTTGTTCGAGGGGAGGATCATTCCTGACGGAAAATCAGTAGCCATAAAGGGGTCTTGTCAAATCTTGAAATGTTATGGAAATAAATTCCAAAAATCTAATGAAGGTTAGTGATCCAGGAGAATTCGTTATGATTTTTTTTTCAATAACAGAAAACTGATTTTAATTTTGCTTCTTCTGTATTTTTGCGTTGTTTCCAAGATTACTTTGAACACTTACTCTGTGTGTTATTCTTCATAATTTTTTTTTAATTCGTGGAGAGTGTGCGACAATTACATCCAGGACATTCAAATGTTTTCCTGGAGAGTCACACATTGACCAGAAAACTTGTATCATGTCGTCGTGTTTTGTCGACCGTAAGGGATACAGCATGACACACACGAAAGGTAAGCTCCAAGGCCCGTCAGCAAATCCATGTAGAATTTCTTCGAAGTAGACGGAGTATCTCTTTGCAGGGCAAGCAAGCTAGCATAGGAATCAGTTACATGCTGTGGTTGTTGTTCACGATCCCTATCTATGTACATCAGGGACCTTTATACTAATCATATACATACATGTAGTATATACTAATAGGTCCTTGTCTATACAAAATGCGTTAGGGATCAATAACATGAAGCATAATTATGTTACCAGCTCCTTTGCAAGCTAGTCATACATGTTTGTCTTTTCACAAAATTTAATTTACAACAAAGTTCATTTTAAAAAAAATGTAGAAAACAGATTAAAAGATTAGAAGGGTTATGTTCAACAGAGAGAGCGCTCACCAAAATTCCTTATACTTCAAATAGAAATGGTCGAGAAAGCTCGCTCTGCTTAACGGGCCTCTGGTACTATATAAAAGACACATTATCCAATCATTTGGAACAATATCGAACATCAAATTGTCTCTTTTTATCTTCCGCTTTTAATCGTTTGGAAAATCGTGTTCAATAAATTAAAAAACGCTAGATTTGATGAGCAATATTTCATATAACTAAATTGATGTATTATTAGCGATTATTATGTATGTATATTATACCGTGTAAATGCAGACCCTTTTCTGTGTTACACGTAATGTTTGATAAATTAAAAAACGCTAGATTTGATGAGCAATATTTCATATAACTAAATTGATGTATTATTAACGATTATTATGTATATATATTATACCGTGTAAATGCAGACCCTTTTCTGTGTTACACGTAATGTTTGATACCACTTTGTACCAGGGAAACCGACCATCTGACAGAAAGTTTTCATTTTGACTGATGAAATGATTTCAATTAATTAACTCATGATTAACTATTAATTATGATCTTTCAAGATAATTTGAATAATATCAATTTATATACATATATCATAAATTATGCATTTATTCCTGTAGAATCTTTAGAGAGAAAAACCCCGTTTTTTTTTTATCTTTTGAATGAAAAATCAAATAAAAAAGGAATATCATGTGAAACAAAGTGATTTATAATCGGTAATATGTAAATAGAAAATTAAAATTGAATGCGATTAATACGATTTGGAAGAAATTTTAACAATAAAATTCTTTCTTAGTTTGTTATTACTGGAATTAACGGATGCAGCTGTTGCAGAAAAAATACATAACCCGCTTACGCGGGTTATGTAATTTTTTTCTGCAATAGCTGCGACCGTTAATTCCAGTAATAACAAACAAAGAAAGACATTTTATTGTTTATATTTATATCTGTTTAAATAATCATTTAAAGTAGTAACAAAAAGATTAATTATTGTATTAATGATTTGAACGTCTTTATACGTTTCATTGATGGAAGAGCCACTGATCAAGAAATGTGTACAGGCGACATGCCTAATGTAGTTCATGCAGTGATTGACGCAATGGGTTTTCTTAAGAAATAAAGAAGAAAAAATATTCAGTGGATGTAAATAATGCCTTGCAAAGTAATTCTTACTTTTATAGGATGCAAAATAAATGGGAAGTGTGTCTTTCCGTCGGACTTTAAGGATACATTTGGTCTCCGATTTTTGTGTCATCATATGAGGTGTACCGGAAAAGGAATCATCAAATCTCAGAGAAGTAAGTTTATAAAAAAAAGTATCAAATCTCAGAGAGGAAAGTCCATAAAAAGGAATCAATCTCAGAGAAGTAAGTCTATTAAAGAAAATCATCGAATCTTAGATAAGTAAGTACTGTACATAGAAGAGGAATCATGAAATCTCAGAGAAATAAGTACATAAAAGATGAATCATCAAATCTCAGAAAAGTAAATTCATAAAAAAGGAATCTTCAAATCTCAAAGAAGTGAGTTTATAAGAAGGAATCATCAAATCTCAGAGAAGCAAGTTTATATAAAGGAATCACCAAATCTCAAAGAAGTAAGTTTATGAAAAAGGAAATCAGACCTCGAAATCCGGAGTGCGAAAGAACGGTCACTTTCTAGGTGCCCAGAAGTACGTCATGTACGTATAACAGGTACGAGAACTCGAACCCGGTTATCTCCCAATATCGCACCACTAGGCTTACCCCAAACGGTTACAAAATCCTTAGAAAGACATTGATGACAAGTGTCAATATTAGTTAATTTTTACCCCTTTTTACCCCTTTTCAAACTTTTACAAAATGTAGAAAAAAGCAGTTCATCTTTAAAAATAACAAAATTAATGTAGCATCCTCATGTGTTTACTTTAAAGCTTTAGATATTACACGTTCATCGATTACAAAGAAATAACAGAATTGATTAAAAACCATTTTTTCTGATCTCAAAAAGAAAATGTTAACGCGTGCCAAGAGATTACCAAACCGGTTCTGGAACTCTGTAAAACGAAGAAAATGTGTTCAAATGAAGTAGAAAATGTTAGCCTGACTTTTTCTATAATTAATTGTTTTCACTCGTATCTCAGGGTAAAGTTTTTATTAAACATATATGATAAAATTAGAATTACAAGCACATATGTTAATTATAGGGCTGGGCAATAATATCGATATTTCAATATATTGCGATACTATGACAAAAAATATTGTATCGCAATACGATTTTGTAATATCGATATATTGGCAATATGCTTAGATTAAGGAATTTTATCATTAAGTATAGGAATAGACTTATGAAAGTTTGTTATTAAGCCAAACAGTAAGACAGAAGTTTTGTGGGAGCATTTCAGAGCATAACTTATATGAAATCAACAAGATTTTTTTTCCCGTCTTCAGGTTACTTATCACAGTTATGTACATTCTGCATGTAAATTAAGTAAATAAAGGAAGAAAATGCCATTTTAATAACAATGAAAATATTGCAATACATATCGCAATACAATTTAAAATATCGCAATATATCGCAATACGAAATCTTGGGCCAATACCCAGCCCTAGTTAATTAATCTCAAATACGAAAAGATTTATTTAAAAAAAAAAACATAGAACAATTAAATGATTAATTTGATACATTGTTTAGCATGTAGTTTTTTTACAGCGACAAAATGAAAATGAAATAAAAAAAAAATTATGAAATATTACATGTTAATAAAGCCATTACTTTAAATAACTTTATTCAACGCTGATAAACTTAACTTGTAGCTAGATGTTTATGCATTAATCCACGTATTCACACATTTTTTGTAAACAATGTATGAACACACTTTGTGGTTTTAGTCTAGACATGTTAATTAAACATAACGAAATGAAAGAGTTAAGTAAATTAATAAACCTTTAATTATGTCAGCTACTTGTTATGTGCTTAAAAAACATGGAATTCATTACTGCAGGTGCTGTCCTTGAATGTTAATTATATTCTAACAAAACCGAAATGATTTATTACAAATTTTTCTTAAGATTTCTTTTTAAACTGTCCTTAAAATAGCCATTTTTAATCTTTTAAACGCAAAATGCAAATACTGGGCAGTTCTGAATTTGAATTGGATTAAAATATTCTTTCTGAGATATTATTCTGTCAATTTGTCAATGTTTGAAATTTATGATGATAAGATCTCCAATTTCAGTCTCCGATTTGTCTTAGCTCGGGAGGTCTCAGGTTCTGTCAAATATTACAGACGAGAGGAAAATACCGTATTCACTTAGGCTTTTATAAAATGCAATTTTAGAATTCATTTAAATTAAGATTTTTTCTTTATTTAGAAATATATACATAATTTATTCATTAAAGTTTTGTTTTGTAGAGTCTCTGTGTTCCGAGGGTGATCTATGTCGCTCGACACGCTGGATCGATGCATACAAGTGCATGGACTAAGATGTGATATTATTCCCTTTCATCTCATTCTGTAAATAAGCATCATATCACAGGTCATAGATGATGTATTGTTTTTTTGGTTTCATTTTCCATTGTTTTTATAGTTACATTGTTGAAATATTTGTGTGTGGGTGAGAGAGAGAGAGTCTCTTTTTTAAAAACTCTTTGTGCTTTGTGTGTTAAATATATTTTTGAATAAAAATAAAAATTCTCTTTAATCAAAAATGTTTTAGAAATCAACTAGCTGAAAAATGTATCTTGTCATTGACAATTAAATCAAATAGTACAACTTTTCAACACTTTATACAACCTTTCCTCACGAAAAATCGAAGTCCAGGCATAGACGGTTGATTTTTCAAGAAAATTGGAACTAAAAAAATATACATACCTTGTCATTGGTCTTTGAAAGTTATTTTGTTTAAAACATTCTGATTGTACACACAAGTACTCTGAAGTTGATATTATAAAGATGCTTGAGTTTCTAGCGATATCTTTGTAGTTTTATTAGAGATCAGTTCTTCCAACAATATGTTGGAATTCCCATGGGTATTTCGATATATTGACGACGTATTATTTAAAAAATTATTTCACTGTATCAAAAATAACACACATTGCTTGCATAATTTATGTTTACTCTCATCAGATACTGTTGAACTCCCCACTTCAATTTGCCACTAAAACGGAAGATTTCGTGGGCGTATTTTTTGTTTTGTATTGTTTTTGTTTGGTTTTTTTTTTGGGTTAAATTTGGTGATTGAAACAATCACATACTCACATTCAATATGAAGTTAAAAAATGTGACCATGTTGGCCAATTCTAAAATGTTTTCCCATTAATGAAAGTTTTTTTTAATATGCCGCCTTGCCCCCCCCCCCCTTTTCTGATCAAAATTTGTCCGTCGTCTGTCGTTGTCGTCGTTGTTGTAAACTTTTCACATTTTCATCTTCTTCTTAAGAACCACTGGACCAATTTCAACCAAACTTGCCACAAAGTATCCTAAGGTAAAGGGGATTCAAGTTTGTTCAAATGAAGGGCCAAGCTCTCTTCCAAGGGGAGATAATTATGAATTAGTGAAAAATTAATGGCATTTGTAAAAAATTTTCTTCTCAGAAACCACTGGGCCAAGAAAGTTGAAACTCATATGGAAGCAGGTAGTGTAGATTCAAGTTTGTTCAAGTCATGACCCCTGGGGATAGGGTGGGGCCACAATGGCTGATCAATGTTTTACATAGGAGTATATGGAAAATCTTTGAAAATCTTCTTCTCAAAAACTACTGGGCCAGGAAAGATGAAACTCATGTGGAAGCATCCTCAGATAGTGTAGATTTAAGTTTGTTCAAATCATGACCCCCGGGGGTAGGGTGGGGCCACAATGGCTGATCAAAGTTTTACATAAGAGTATATAGGTAAAAAATCTTTAAAAATCTTCTTCTCAAGAACCACTGGACCAGGAAGGATCAAATTCATGTGGAAGCATCCTCATTTAATGTAGATTCAAGTTTGTTCAAATCATGACCCTCCTGGGTATGGTGGGGCCACAATGGCTGATAAAAGTTTTACATAGGAGTATATAAGGAAAATCTTTATCAATCTTCTTCTCAAGAACCACTGGTCCAGGAAAGATGAACTCATGTTGAAGCATTGTCAGGTAGTGTAGATTCAAGTTTGTTCAAAGCATGACCCCCGGAGTAGGGTGGGGCCACAATGGCTGATCAAAGTTTTACATAGGAATATATAGGGAAAATCTTTATAAAAATCGTCTTCTCAAGTACTTCAAAGCAATGATTAGTGATAGTATAGGAAGAAAATGTTTTTAAAAAATCTTTTTATCAAGAACAGCAAAGTCATATGCTGTATTAATATGAAGGCATTCTAAAGTAGTATTAAATTCAAGACCCCCTCCCCCCCCCTTTCAGTAAACTTTTCAGTTCTGATCTGTGTTTTTTTTCCTAGACGATTTGCTCAGGTGAGCAATGTGGCCCCTGGGCCTCTTGTTTTTTCATATTTGCAGGTAATAAAGGTGTATATGTATTGCTTCATAAGAAAGGGGGTCTGAAGATTGAAAAAGTTAAAGTTTTGACGTTTATCTTTTTTAAATTTTTTTTTAATCTTTTTATTTAAGGAATCATTGTCTACACTGTTGGGTATGCCTGGGCACTAACAATAGTTGGAAACTTGGAATAATTTGCATAACGGACGAAGCCTAATCTGCATAAGTAATCCCACGTTTCCAGCTATAGTTGATGTCCCTGGCATACCCAACAAACAAGACAGTGATTCCTTATACATGTGTATTTCTATTTCATTGTGAAATAAAACTTAAAATTCAGATTAGGAAATAGAAATGGAAATATATTACAATCAACGTCTTTTTTCTGGTAAAATATCCAATTATGAAACAAATGCGTCAGGCTCTGTGAAATTTTTTTTATTTCAAGCTCACCGGGATAACAATTGTCAATTGACAGAACGTCGTCGATGTATCTAAATGTCGAGTGGAAGGCCACACCGTGTTTTTTTTTTTCACCTTAAGTTTTTGAACAAATTCTGCTTCGTATGAATACAAAAATAGGTCTGCAAATAACGGGCGCAATTGATTCCAATGGGAATTCAAATACTTTGTTGGAAGACATGGTCTCCAAAAAACACAGACATGTAAAAGGATACATGCATTGTCAAATCAAAAACTCAAGCATCACTGATATCAACTTGAGAGCACATTTGTGTACAATTACATAATCATTCATAATTAAAATAATTTTGAAATTGGCCTATGACAAGATAACTAAATCTACGAGTTAAAACCCCATCGAAAGAGCACCTGCTAATACTAATAATACTAATAATTATAATTTTAATTTTCAGAAAATAAAAATTTTGAACCAAAATAGACTTCCAGAGAACATATTTACTTACAAATAATCATTTCAAATTTGATAGAATTATTTAATCTGAGTGCAAAGTTATAAATATATGTAAGTGGTAAGAATTCATATTTATTTACAATCAAAAGGAATTATCACAAAACATACACATATACTCATACACGGTTGAATTTATTTGCATACGGTGTAAGTAGTAAACTAAATTTACGATAATAATAATTTTTAAATATGAATCACATACACAATGGTGTAAAGGAAAATTGATCTCAAAAAGTGTAAACAAATCCTCATAGTATCCAGGTTTTCAGCTTTTTTTCACATTATAGAAAGAACTGTTTGATTGAATACGAATAGATGTAAACAGATTATAATTCTCAATTTTCAAATATGCCAATAGCAGAAGCATTGAAATAGACAACATCTGTGATTCTAATATTCTTTTCTAGAAAGTTAAAGGTGTGTTAATTTTATTCGTCTCTTTTATTTTGGCATTCCGTATGGACACATAATTAAACATTGTTATCAATTCAGATTGTTGTTATTTTTGTGTTTTTGTGGGTAGATTTTCAATAAGCTCTTACATGAGGTACCGTCTATTTGATAGGCCCCTTTTCCACCTGAAACGCTTTGTTGTCCTTGTCTTTTCTGCACTCTCTGTCCGATTGCTCATCAACACTCTCTAAATTTCCTTCACGTCCTCATATGCCCATTTCTTCTTCTGTGTCTTCTATCAGTTTAACAATTTTTACATTAATGTCTTTCACTAGATCTTTTAACACATCGTAGTGTCCCGGAGACACGAGACCTTTCTTATCAAAATGATCAACTACCTTGATAACGTCTTTTATGGATTGTTCGTATGGTGTCGTGAGGTACCGTCTGCATTTCAACAAAAACTTCTGGTGGTCGTATCCACTATTAATTGAGGGGTTGAGGTAGTCTAGGGCTATGGATGTCATGAGAGAATTGTGGAGATCTTTAATTTGCTGTCTATCTACGGCCATGATTGCTCACCAATTGTCACCAAAATTGTTCTCTTTTAATTCTGTAATAGATTATCAAGCAAAAAAAAAAACTGTTTAGTCAACGGTACGATATATGATATGCTTTAAGGAGGCATAGACACAGTTTTAGCTAAAAAATTTCAACTTTTTTTTTTACATTTTTACAAACATTTGACTAAAGTCTTTCTAATAATTAACTTTTGTTGTCGAGATAGAAGAGAGATTTAGAGCTCTAAAACTGTATGTAAACAAAGTCTATGTCATGTTTTGTTTACATAGATTAATATACTAATATATGTTCGTTCAAAGCAGATAATTTCAACTGAAAAGTTAATTCTGAATACAATCATACAATTTCTAGTAATTTGCTGAATTTAATTTTGTTATAAATATGATATTTTCTATATGTAAACAAGAACAAGGCACGAGCCTTGTGTTACATTATGGAGAACATGAAGTTCTGTATCTTGTTTACTAATCAATAAATGATGTTCAAATTTTCCCTTAGTTAGGAATTGTAAGCATTAAAATTGGTTTAAAAAATTCAGTTGAAACTGTGTTCATGTCCCTTTAACGTTTGATTGGATATATTTAAAAAAAATCATAAGGTATCATACTAGTATAAGGTATAAAAGATGTTGCCAAGGTCCCAATTTCATAACAAAGTAGCGATCAGCTTGATGGAACATCATCATTTTGTCCAATTTAAAAAAACATTGCTTTAAAATACTATTTAATTCATTTTATGTATTCTGTGTTCTCTTAGTTTACTCGTGTTTATTTTTGGACTTACCAGGCTTACTGTAAGTCAGTTGGCAGGCTGTAGAATGACAATGTTGATTCGCTTATAACTTAAATAATTTGATAATTATTTACTTCTTGGCACCTAATTCCAAACTTGGATTTCGATGGGGGATGGGATGGAGTCGGGTCGGGTGTTGAAAACGACGAAACCTGATATATTTGTATGATTTTTCTCTCAAAATGTTAGTAATAAACAAAAACGAAAGTAGATACAGTTAAAATCCTGCCAGTTTTGTATTGAAACTTCATTAATTATTTCTTACATTTTCTCCTTTAAAGCAATATTAATGCTTGATATGCCTGTGAAGAGGATTAACATTTGACACATTTCCTAAAATTACCAAACTCCTGTTTTTTGGTTTTCAATGGCGTCCGTGATACAAAAAATAGACCCGAGAAAACCACCTGACAGAATACTTTAAAAGATTCAACTGAAAAACACAGGCAGCGAAAAATTAAAAAATGATTAGTAATAAAATAATCCTAAGGAATTGTTTATGATTTGAA